AGGAGGGAAAGAAAGCAAGAAAGAAAGAAAAAAAAAAAAAAAGAGAAAGAAGAAAGAGAACTGGAGATGTAGCTTAATGAGAAGACCCTGAGTCCAATTCCTATCACCACACACACGCAAAAAAAACACTGAATTTGGGGAAATGCATACAGAAAGTTCCGATATAGTGTATGGCACATTGGAAGTACTCAAAATATTCTCACAGTTATGTTTATTTACATAAATATTACTTATGGTGCAGCAAATAGGGTTATGGCCAAATGTTGACTGAGCGCAGAACTCAAGATTTGCCTAAAGCCAAATGTTCTCACCTTAGAATAAATCTCTGAAATGTACAAACAAATCAGAAAGTGTATTACAAAGTTATTACAGTCACAATTTCATTATCCATGACTGTAGCAGGTACATCTGGTTTTCAGGTTGACCTGTTTTTTTTTTGGTTTTTTTCCGGTACCGGGAACTGAACTCACGACCTTGCGCTTGCCAGGCAGGCGCTGTGTTGCTGAGCTAAGTCCCCAGCCACCAGGTTGACCTTTAATGAGGTATCATCTCTCCTCTTTGTCAGTGGCCAACTTGCTCCCACAACCTGTAAGTGACTATGGTGATTCTAAGAAACAGCCCTGAAGTGTCTCCCACTGAGAGGTGGGTCTCTGTCCCCAGCCTGACACATTGGTGACTGTGTCAGGTAACAGAATCAAACAAAAGTGAGGCTGGGGTGTAAAAGACAGAGGCTGCTGCTCAATCCAGAGCCCTAGGCCACACAGTGAGAAGGTCAAAGGTCCAGAGGCAGCCATGATGGGAGGAGGTGAAGTCTCTTGGACAGATGGGTTGGGAGTGCCAGTAGTGCCAGCCCCTGAGACTTCTAGCCCAGACACAGATTTATGATAAAGAGTCTGGTCCCTACTCACCAAGTCACTCTACACATTATGCTTCCAAGCTTAGGACCTGGACATCATGGAGCAGAGACAAGCGTTTCCTCCATTCCCTGCTCAACTTTTGGAGTCACAGAATCCATGAGCCTAATAAATGGTGATTATTTTACACTGCCAGGTTTAGGGTGGTTTGTTTTGCAGCCATAGAGCTAAGATAGTGGCTCATCCCATACCTGCGTCATTGGAGTGGCGCGCCTTTCTGTGCAGAGACTAACACCCATCTCCCTACTTGTATCGCTATTGGCACATTCACAATTATCTCTCAATACAGAATGAACGGCCTTCGTAATCACGGTTAATCACAGCGGTGTTTCTACCTGTGAAGTCTCCGCTGTGGAGGAATAAATATCCATTTCTCCCTCAACATGCTCGTGAGACGGCAGCATATACGCCACATACGGAGCTTTCCGTTCCAAGTTCTATCCAGAAGGCTTTTCTATATTTGAGAGGGACTTGTCAGATACAAATGCTAAGTATGAATGCCAAACCTTGCTCATGTTCCTGATGCAGTTTGCACTCACTCCACAGACAGATCACTACGTCTGACTCCGAGAAGGCCAGCAAGATGTAAAAGTCAGAGTTTTAATATTTACCCTCTTTGGAGACCAAGACCCCAGAAGAATCTCAAAGCAACCTTAAGATTGTTATAGTTTTTCTACTGTCTTCATGGCTGAGTTAATGGGAACTGGAGGGAAAACTGAGGTTCACTGAACCCTGGCAAAGAAATCCAGGGGATGAAGGTTGAATAATTCACCACCTTCCCAACCCCTCCACTCCAAGACACAATGGTGCCAGCAGAACTCAGAATGGTCACCATGTTTATATTTTCCCAGTAGACTATTTTTTTAAGTAATGTATATTAAGCTCAGGTCCTTCACACAGAGGTACATCTCAGACTTTTATATCTATCGATTTATCTATCTATCTATCTATCTATCTATCATCTACCCATTTTTGATTCAGGGTCTGGCTAAGTTGTTAAATTGCCCAGGCTGGGCTCAAACTTGCAGCCCTCCTGCCTCAGCTTCCCAAAGTGCTGAGATTATGGGCATGTTCCTCTACACCTGGTTGCCAACTGGCGCTAATGTTCTGCTATGGTTTGAATGTGGTTCATCTCCCCAAAGTGCTGTATTAGAAGCTTGGTTCCCCAGTGTGGTGAGATTAAGAAGTGGTAGAACCCTTAAGAGGTGCGGCCAAGTGCAGAATAATTGGGTCATGGAGAAATTAAGCAATTCTTATGGGATCCTAGGAGACTGGATTATTGTGAAGAGTAGCACTGTCCCCTCCCCAGCCTCTGGCTTGTTGTCTAGTCATGTGATCCTTTCCACACATGCTCCTGAGGCTGAATAATGGGTTCAATCTTGGACTTTGAGCCTCCAAAACAATGAGCTAAATAAGCCTCTTTATAAGGTGCTCAGCCTCGGGCATCTTGTTATAGCAGTGAAAAATGCACTAATACACAAATGAATGTCCACCAGGTCCTCTAGAATAGGGCCACATCCCCCTGGGCAAGATGGTGCTCTCTTCAGTATCCCCTCCTTCCAGGATATGTATATATCTGTTCAGACCTCCCCAGGGTGGGCCATATTCCCTCAGAGTCCCCACACTTCATAAAATACATGTACAACACAATTTTTTCAGCTCACCATTGCAGAGGAAAATTTATAGTCACTTACCTCTAACTATACATTTCTAAGAAACCATTGTATGAACCAAGACTCAAATTATATTCCAAATACCATAGGTAGCAGGGACAGCCATGTGCAGTCTTTTGGGACAATTATGAAGGGAGGGGAAGTCTTCCCACATGAAATACAACATAGGGAGGCTCTGAACAACAAAGCAATGCTGGGAATCAACCTTGCTAGGGCTTCAGGGACTGGGACTGATGGTTTGAGCATTCCCCATATGAATGGTTTTCTAGTTCTGACATAGAGATGCTACAGGGACAGAGGACAAACTCTGCGGCCCTTAACCTGTTATTCATTAAAAGCACAACTTGCGTTTTTTTCTGAACTGATCAGAGACTTAAAAGCGGATTTCATAACTCTTCATTTGGGCCTACAAATGCCCAATTGGCAACTAAAAGTAAAGCTTAATGTTCATTTGTGTAGCCTTTATGATCTTCAAACTTTGGCTATAGGTAGGTTGCTCACTGAAGAAAAATCAGCAGAGCCAAGTTGATCAGCCCTAAATTTACCTGTGCTGGCTCATCCCCCTTCACGGCAGAGGGCCCCAGGAGGAGAGGAATGAGAATAGTTCTCAGGGTTTCCAGGGCCTTTCAGTGCTAGCTTTTACAGTGTCCAGTCACAGACCCTTCTCCCATGTGCAAAGTTTAAAGTCTCTAGCAGTTGTCCTGAGCCTGGTGGTTACCTGAGAGAAAAAGCAGAGCCTCACGTGACTGAAGCTGTCACAGAGACAGTCATTTCATGAGAATGGAACCACCCCCCAAGCCAGGAGACCCCATCACCATGAATTCAGGACTGAGATAATGATCCGCTACATCCAGACCCACCTTAGCCAGTCCTTCAAAGCCGGCCCTGGCTAATCACTCCACCTGGAGCCCTTTCCCTATCTTTCTCTTACGTTCCAATTACAGCTCCTTTCCTGCAAATTCGTGCTTTAGTTTTATTTCCATTTCTCCTAAAACAAGGACCCACACTCGCAGTGACAGCTTTATAAGGTACTTTCCTGGATATATTTCTATTTTAAGAAATGTCTTGAGAGCTGGAGGTTGATGAGTGATGTGTTATAGTTTTTATCATTTTAAGTCATGAGAAGCAGACACGCAGGGAGCACACACCCCTCCTACACACACACACACACATATACACACACACACACACACACACACACACACGCAGAGATTTTCTGCAACATTAACACCTTCACTTCTCACCGTGCAGGGACAGCAGTGCCCCCTGGTGGCCATCTGGGCCACCATGAAGATGGGCAGAAGCTCTGGAGAGGCGTTGGGGAGCAATTTCCCAAGGGAAGTTGAGACCCCAGCCGGGATGGAGGAAGAGGAGATGAGCTCAGGCTGTAGTCCCCAAGCTTGGCGCCCCAGTTTCCAACCTACAGGGTTCTGCTTTCTTTTTTTCTTTTCTTCTTTTTTTGCAATTCCGGGGGTTAAACCCCGGAGTCTTTGTACTGTGCTACATCCCCAGCCTTTTCTTTTTTTTTTTTTTTTTTTTTTTTCTTTTTGGAGACAGGATTGTGTTGACCTGCTAAAATGCCTAGGCTGGGCTCAAAATTTAATTCTCCTGCTACAGTTTCCTAGAGTGCTGGGATTACAGGCCTGCGCCACCATGCCTGGTCCAGGGTGTTTTCTGTGTTAGCCCAAGATGAATGTTCTTTTTTTGCTTGCTGAACACTGAGGCCAACAAGTTCTCCTGGAAACAGCCCCTCATTTTCCTTTGGAGAATCTCCCACACCCAGCTTGCACGATTTTGAAGGTCTAGATCCCATCCCTATGCCATACATCAGATGCACAGTGATTTGCTGAGAGGTGGGCATGTGACCCAAAACCTGTCAAATGAGAGCTGGGGGGTCATTGGCACTATTTTTGCTGGAACTATGAGGAAGAAGCATTTCTTTTCCACTGGAGCTGCAAAGCTGGTCCCTGGTATGAAAGCCTGGGCTTTATGTAAAGGTGGGGATATAGTTCTGGTTACAGAGGAGCCTACTTGAAAACAAAACTGATACACAGTAGAGTTGAGAGCAGCTGGATTCAGCGTACCTGAAGCCAAAATGCTCTAGAGTATTTCCATCCTTTTGCTTAAATCAGTTGAAATTAGGGAATCACTTCCTGCCTGATTTGTGCCAGCCCCTAATGCCTCCTTTACCTTTTTCCTTTTTTTTTTTTTTGTCTTTTTGAGACAGGGTCTCGCTGTGCAGTTCAGGCTGGCCTTGAGCTCTTTGTAGCCCAGGCTGGTCTCAAACTCGCAACGATCCTCTTGCCTCAGCCTCCTGAGTGCTGGGATTACAGGCATGTGCCACCACACCGGGCGTCCTTTTCCTCTTTCCAAAAATACCCTCATTGCTTCATACATGTACAAACTCAGAGGCCACATTAATCAAAACCATTTTTATTATTTAAAGAGCATCCTGTCATCAGGGGTCCCCAGACTAGGGCCCCCAGAGGACAGACCAATATTTACATGGGGTGGGGGGATGAGGCTCGGGTGGTCCCAGGGCTGAGTGGGCCCGCCACTGTGGAAGACAGGACCTTGGAGGAGGCTGTCCTTGGACCTGTGGACTGGGCCAAGAAGGAAAACATCCCATCCTGGGGCCAGCTTGGATCCTACCATGTGGGGCTGGAGCCACCTAGATCAACTCTGGCCCTCGAGGTGTATGCAGTGAAGAGACGCCACAGGTCAGAGCTGGGTCACCATGCCACTGGCTTCGGAGTAAGTCTGGGGAAAGACAGCTGGGGCTTCTGAGTCTGAGAGGCTTCCTCCAAAGTCCCGCAACTAGTCTCCCTGCCCTGGAAGCCTGTGGAAACCCACCTGCTCCCTAGGACGCCCTCTTCTAGGCCTGAGGGTCAGTTTCCGAAAAGCGTCTGCCTCCACACATCCCCCCGCCCCCGAGCTCCCGTCCGGCTCCACTCACCTTTATGGCTTGGAAGATCCACTCCCGGAAGTCACTGACTTTGGTGTAGACACCTGGCTTCTGGGCCAAGGCACAGCCAGTGCCCCAGCTCACAATGCCGCAGAGCCGCCAACGTACCGTCTGAGAGATGCTGTCCTCACACACAAAGGGACCGCCGCTGTCGCCCTGCCAGGGGAAAGGCAAGCCTGGCCAGAGCCCAGGAGGCCCTCTGACCCTGACACGGGTAGCGCTGGGGGTGCTAAGGCCAGGGGCTGCCCCACAGTCTCTTACCTGGCAGGCGTCAACCCCACCCTCCGGGTAGCCGGCACAGAACATCTTGGGCTTGATCTGGTTCCCGTAGAAGTCAGGGCTATTGCAGACATCATTGCTGATGATGGGGACTCGGGCCTCCTGGAGCACCCCAGCCTGCTGGCCTGGGGGTATGTGGACGAGGCTGGCTGAAGTTGGGGAGCAGGCACACCTCCTTCCCGCCTGGTGCCCAACCTACACCCCTCAGGGCCCCTATGCCCCAGGGTTGAGAGCCCGCCATCCAGCTGCACTGTCCTTCCCCAACCCAGCTCAGAGTCGCCCTCATGGTGGCCCCACAGGCAGTGCGCAGGACTCACCATAGTACTGCGTGTTGCCCCAGCCAGTCACTGTGCAAATCTTGCCATCTACCAGGGCCTGGCCAGCCGCTGGGAGGCACACGGGCTGGATGTACTCTGTGAGAGAGACCACAGTCCAGCCCCTGCTGGCCCTACCCATCCGGTGCAAACCCACCTGTCCAGCCGCCCCACCTGCCCCCAGCACGCCCCCTTTCCTCTGTCCCTTTACAGTGTCCACAATAGAACCACCATCCACTGAGAGCTGCCCATGTACTACGTGTTTTCCTGCATCACTTCCTTCCACCTCCCATCAGTCCCGGGAGGTTGGGGCATCCATTAGGAGGGAATGAAGGCCAAGCCACTTGACCAAAGTTTCATAATAAGTCAATGGCACAGCCAGAATTTGAAGCTAAGTTGGCCCAAGGTTCATCTTGTTAAAGCATGAATCAGTAAAGCCATGTCCCCCTAAACTGCCTTTTTATAGCCAAATGTTAGTCCATTGTAGGAATATGCCACATTTGCTCATCCATTTGTCAGATCACGCACATTTGTCAGATTTGCACATTGGCATGTTTGGCTGATATGAACAGAGCTGTCATGAACATTCATGTACAAATGTTTGCATTGACCTGTGTTTCATTTCTCTTGGGCAAACACCCTAGGAGTGGACTTGTTGGGTCAAATGGTAAACTTTAACTTTTTCAGAAACTTCCAGCATTTTCCAAAGTGTTCCCACCTATCCTTCAGTTAATGTCTGGTTTGTGTCCCCTCAGGATTATTCCCTTGTCATTTGGATACCGGAATGATAAATGGATACCTGAATGATAAATCTACGGCCCCGGTCCTTTCCTTTCTCCTCTGTCTCTGGGGTCCCCAAGGCGAGGCTTGAACCCCAGACTCACCTGTGAGGGGCAGAGGACTGGAGAGGTGGACCAGGGCAATATCATTGCTGTTCTCCTCACTGGTGGGGTCCCGAAAGGGAAGATAGCCCCCATGGTAGACCACGGCCTGCACCCCTAGCTGCATGCCCTGCGGCGAGGCCTGGGCCACAGCTCCCGCAAATACTCGCCAACGGGACAGGACTCGGTTCCGCCTGCCAGGGAACGGGAAGGGAGGCTGGTGGCCTGACTGGGCACGCCCTCCGACCCCTGCTGCACTGCCTCCCCAACCTGGGCACTCACTCTGGGAAGCAGTGGGCAGCCGTCAATACCCAGTCCCCCGAGAGCAGGGACCCCCCGCAGAGGTGGGCGCCATCATAGCGCAGGCTGACTTGCCACGGCCACCTGCCCAGGCTGGTGTCCTGGCCTCCCACGATGCGGTCTACGGGCGGCTTCCTGCGCCCACAGTCTGTAGGGGTGAGGGCAGTCAGGGCCGTGGAACAGGGCGGGGACCCAAGCTTCCAGAGCACTGGCCTGGCCCCGGGAGATCTGAGAGGACATGGCCCCAACCTGGGGAGTGTGAGGAGGATGTGGTTCCACCGAAGGCCGTTTAGGGGGACACGGCCTTACCCTGAGCAGTTTAAGGGGACACAGCCCACGCTTGGGAACTGGGGGGAAATAGTCCCGCCCTGGGAGTCTGGAGTTGACCTGGCCCCTTGCTTAGAGGACCTATGGAGACACAGCTGTCCCCTTGGGAGAATTCGAGGGTCCACAGTTGCCCCGGGCATCTAAAGGAGCAGGTTCTGAGTTTCAGGATCTCACCTTGGCAGATGGTAGCCAAAAAACGACCTCTGGGACAGTCACTGTGAGAGAGACAGGGATGGAGACACAGAGAGACGCAAAATGCGGAGACCCATCAGGATAGGCCACAGCGAAAGAAGGAGCGCGGGTGTGGGTGCAGGCGCTGGGAGATGGGGCACCCCACCCACGGCTGCGGCTCACCACACATAGATGACCTCCAGCAGCCTGCTGGCATGGGGCAGCCTGCCCTCATCCACGCAGAAGAAGCCCGAAGTGCCGTTGGCGCCTGCCGTCCGCACGTCCAGCTCTGAGTGGGCCATAGCCCTGGACGGGGCAGGGGTCAGGCCTGCTCCCGTGCCCCTTGCCCGCAACCCGATCCTCCCGCCAAGGAGCGCCCTGGTACCTGAGGAAGCCCATCTCCTCGCAGCTGAGACCTGCCACCCTGGCGTTGGAGCGCGAGGAGCACAGCAGCCGCCACGTCCCCTCCGTCTTGTCGAACACGGTGAGCCGTGCGTCCGCGGGGCTGACCTGCACTGCGGAGCGACACGGGGCCGCCTGGGTCCCTGGGCCAGGCTCCTGACCACCGCCCCCGGCCCCTGCGGGCCTCTTCTGCAGCCAAGCTGCTCTGTCCTGCATCCCAGGGCCCCTCGGAGCACGCCACCCCGCACCTGTGCGGTGTTGGGAGGGGTTGAGACGCAGGCCACACCGACGGCACGCAGGGTCTTCTCTTTCCGCGGGGACTCCTAACTAAGCTGGTTTTTGGAACCTGACTTCAACATTTGCCAAAAGGGAAATAGTTTCCAGGCAAGTTCCTGCGGGAACGGCAGGGGGCGCTCTATCTGCTGAGGGCCACTGCTGCCCCCTAGGGGAAAGATGGTGCACTTGGAAGAAACCCGAGAGATTTTTCTGATGGGTTTTGTTTTTGTTTTTGTTTTTGTTTTTTGGTACTGGGCGTTGAACCCAAAGCTTTTCCAGTGAGCTATGTCTCCGGCCTTTTTTTTTATTTTGAGACCGAGTCTTGCTGACTCAATTAACTTGCCCAAACTGGGCTTTACCTCACAGTCCTCACTCCCCAGCCTCCCCTAACGCCGGGATTACAGCGGTGCTCTACAAAATTTTCAAAACTCCTTGATGCGGCCAGGCTTGAAGAACCCACCCGGAATCAAGCGAGTTAATAATTTCCCCTTCCGTTTAGCCAATTTATTTTTCCTTTTGTCTTCTGCAACTGGAAGACCCTTCACTAAAACCAGATTACCAAAATGTTTCAATAAACATCTTATGGTCGTTAAAAATAATACAAAAACAGCTATCTTTTCTGGAGGACTTCTCAGCGCCCGGAGTGCTACTGTGCATAATTCTCCCAGCATTAACTGGACCCACCGCATGACACTGGGAGCACAGGAGGAGAAGAGAGCCCGGGGCCCCGCCATCACCGAGCCAAAGTCTGGGCAGAGGGTAGACAGACAGTAGTTACAGAGTCCCTCGACCAACACACTAGAAACTGTGCCGTGAGGCAGGCCGGGATACAGAGGAAGGCTGGGAAGGTCACGGCGGTTTTCACACCTGGGGCAGGATGGGGACAGCCTGCTTGGGCATCGATGTTCCCAGAGGGCCCATCAGTCTGCCCCCCACACACGCAACTGAAGGAATCCTGGTACCACCTAAGTCAGGTCAAAGCCCCGAGGCACACTGCTTTATATTTGCCAAGCACTTGCTAAGTGCCAGGCTCTATTTTAGGCTGTGAACAAACTGCCACAGCAATGAACAAATCAGACAAAACCCCTGACCCTGTGGAGCTCAAAGCCCAGTGGGGAAGGTGGATAACGAACTGGACAAGTAACTAAAATATGCCGTGGGTCACAAGAGAAGAAGAGGCCACGAAGGCAGAGAAGGTGTCAGCGGAGGGAGAGCGGGTGTGGGATGGAGGTGGCGCTTCTCAGCACGCAGGCAGGGAAGGCCGCTCCAAGGAGACGGCAAATGAGCCAACATGGAAAGGAGGTGAGGAAGACACAAAGGTACATTGGGGACAGTGAAGGAGGCCAAGGAGCTGCAAGTGCAGGGATCCCAAGGCTGGGGTGTGCGGACGGGAGAGCAAGGAGCCAGAGCAGAGGGGAGCAAGGGCAGGGCAGGGGAGGGGAGGGGAGGAAGACACGCGAGGGAGCCACCCTTGGGCTTGTCTGCCGGCTGGAAGGAGGCACAGGTATGCGCAGCCTCCCGGCTTCGGGTGGGGACGGACTGGGGCAGGGGTGAGCGGAAGGTCAGGCTGGAGGCTGCGAGGCGTCCAGGTCAGAAGGGATGCAGGCTGCACACTGCCGTGGGTGGAGATAGAAGAGCAGAACTCCAGGTAGATTTTGCGGGTGGAGCTGCCTGGAGCTGCTGAGAGACTGGACTCACATGTGAATGTGAAGGAACGAAGGAGAGGGGTCGAGGGGTTTGGTCTGAGCCACTAGAAGGAGGGAGCTGCCGCTAGCAGAGGTGGGCAAGGTGCAAGAAGCTGGTCGGGGAAGACCAGCTATGGCCTCTTTGTCCTCTCCTCAGGATGCTCCAGCATGGCTGCGTCCTCAGGCCGCCTTCTGGGAAACCAGGTCTGGTGACAAGGTACTTTTGAATTCTCCTAAGAGGCACCTGACAAGGCCACATGCAAGCTGGGTCCTCTTGGGCAGCGCTGTAGGTCTGGACGCGGAAAGGCAAGACTTCCAAGGAGCACTCGGCCCTGCTCAGCAGCTACTGCATGCCTGGGACAATCCTGCAAGCTCTCCCTGCCCCACCAGTAACCAAGGCCTTGCCATACCCCCAGGGACCACAGAGATCCCCTCCCCTCTTCCAGGTAGGGAGGCTGAGGCTTGGAGCGGTGGCGAGATTTGCCCAACATCACCAAGAAGGTGAGAGGCAGAGAGACAGGATTTGAAACCAGGCCTAAGGAAATCAACCCTGGATCATGTGTACGTCCATCTCACAGATGAGGAAACTGAGGCTTAGAGGTATATACTTACGCAGGGACACACAGCTAATGCTGGAAAAATCAGGATTTCAACCCACACCTGCCAACCTTCACACTCTCTGCTTCCTCAGTGGGTCTCACCCAGACCCTTGCCTGTCCCTGCCCTTAATGCCCTCATCCATCTGAAAGCCTCCTGCTCCAGGATGACGCAGGGGTGGCACCTCAGCAGGATGACGACTGCCACTCCCTGAGCTCCGAGAAAAGACAGGTTTTAGGACAACAACTCAGGGGCGATAAAGTCTTACTTTATTTTTTGTTTTAAAAAAATTTTGGGGGGGATACTGAGGATTGAATCTGGGACCTTTGCACTGAGCTACATCTTCAGCCCTTATTTTTAATTTTGAAACAGAGTCTCCTTAATTTGCTAAATTGCCCAGGCTGGGCTCAAATTTGCAATCCTCTTGCCTCAGCCTCCCAGCTTGCTGGGATTTCAGGTGTGCATCACCACTCTAGGCTCAGTCTTAGTTTGAAAGGACTCCCAGCTGCTTGCCAAAATTTCCAGCAAGAGTGGAGCTTGACTACCTGGCAGGTGCAAGGTCATGAGTTTGAATTCCAGTACCAAAAAAAAAAAAGAGTGGGGTTTGAGGAACACAGTGTGACTTTATGGATGTGTGTGAGGGGAGGTGTGGGGGGTGGGAGAGGGGATGGGAACATCAAATGCCTCCTTGATTATTTTTAAAGCTACATTCTATGCCACTGTTTCTCACTTTTTAAATTCTTTATTCTCATTTATATTATTTTAAGCAATGCAAGAAGTATCTTCTGGGTCACCTGGTATGCTTACCAAATTGCCTGATATATTTAGAAGTGTGACAATCCCAGAAAAACAAGCTGGTATATAGTTGGGGGGGTTGTTTTTGTTTGTTTGTTTGTTTCATAATTTCCCAGTGTTTCGGAAACACTCAAGTACAAGTGGAGGGCAAGGGCCCTGGCACCGGCCACACTGCGTCTGAGTCGCAGCCGGGTGACTTTCCATCTGGAGGCCCAGGACAAACTGGTGCGTCTCAGTGACCATCTGTACACGAATTCATCAATCAAAGAATGCCCTAGCGCCTACTATGTGCCAGCCTCTGGTGGGGCAGTAAACAAAATGTCCCAGCCCTTCTGAAAGGTATCTGCAGTAAATGATTAACCGGGAGCCTGCGGAGGGGTTTGCCTGGGGCAGCAGGGATGGCTGCGGGGTGGGAGGGCGTTCAGGAAGGTCTGGCTCAAGGGGACTGAACCTAGAGCAGGAGGAACGTGTAGGGAGAGTTGGTGGAGTTGGCCCAGAGCCAAGCCCTGCACCGACAGCTACTATAGTTGTCTTCACCCTTCCTTTGATTCTTCTCACCCCACCTCATAGATGAGCAAACTGAGGCTTCCAGCGGGTGGGGGCTGGTGTGAGGCTCTGAGCTCAGAATCACAGTGCAGAAGTGAAACTGTTCTAGGTGGGAGCAGGGGAGTCAGGGCTTTGCTACGAACAGCATATGGGTGAATGAGAGGAAGCTCAGACCGGAGCCCTGAGATTGCCCCAGGCCGGACCCAAGGCCAGCGGAAGTGGCCTACTGTTGGGCTTTCACCCTGATGCCCTGGGGAGCCATTCAGGGGCGCCTGTAGGGCCTGATCTCGCTGCTCTGCCATTTATCTGTCACGTGGTCCTGGGCAAGTCTGTTCCCTCCATTGGGCCTTAGTCTCCCCTGTATGCCAAACACGGGGATATGAACAGCACCCGTTTCACAGACCTGCTGGGCAAATCTACAAAAAGGGCTCAGAATATGCTACGCTGCACTATGGCAATGAATTCAGGAGCTTTGGGACAAACAGTAGCAAGGACGTTGCCCCAGTTACCACCCAGCCCTGCCACATAGCTTTGCGACCTGGGCCCAGTCCCTTGGGCTTTCTGTGCCTTGGTTTTCCCATCTGAAAATAGGCTATGCTGAGGACTGAGTGAAGGGGTCCCAGGAAGCCCCGAGGCTGTGCCTGGCACAGGTAAATGCCACCGCAGTGCCAGCGAGGAGGGTGAAGGTGGATGTTGGCTTTTTGTGTCTGGGTTTTCATTTCTTCCTGTGAGCTGCATCCTTTATGGAATTAGAGAATGTACAGTGAAAAATACGTCCTACAGCCCCACTCCCCCTTTCCGTAGCCCTGAGTCACAGAATGGCATCGTGGAGTTGGTACCTGGGAAGATTCATTCATTCATCCTACAATGAGTTTCTACCTTTTATCTGTGTGCCCATTCATTCCCTTGCCCCAGAAAACTGCCTACTAAGGCATATCTCTTTTTTTTTTTTTTTTTTTTTTTTTAGGTTTTTTCCAGTACCGGGAACCGAACTCACGACCTTGCGCTTGCCAGGCAGGCGCTTTGCCGCTGAGCTAAATCCCCAGCCCCTTAAGGCATATCTCTAAGAGCTACACCTGGCCCCATCATTAACCAGCTGGGTGTCTTCTCTGGTCCTCACCCTCCACATCTATAAAATGGGCAAATGGCAGCAGCTACCTCCTAGGAGAGCTAGAAAGGTCTGCTGTAGTCATACTGTATCTCTGGTACAGGTTTTGATCATGTCCTATGGTGCAAAACACATTTGTACATCATGATGTAACCCACAGGAGCTCTGTGACCTGGGGCAAACCACTGCATTATTGAGCCTCAGTTTTTCTTGTAAAATGAGCAGAGTAGCAATCCCCCTCTCCAGAGCTGCTGGGAAGAACCCATGAGATTCCATGTACATGAATGCATAAAACCAAAACAAAGCAGTAACGAAATTTTTTCTTCCTGGGAGACATGTACTCTGATACTTTCTAATCTAATCTATTTTATACTTTCAAAAATATTGGAGCTTTCAACTCCCTCATTTAATTTCATGGGGCACTAATGGGTAACCCACTGGGAGCCTGAAAACCACCGGGTTAGACGTTCAAAGTGCTTATTAGACTCATGCCTGGGACGCAGCAGGCCCTCAGTACAAACGCACTATTATTATGAGCATTTCAGATGTGTAGGTACATTCATTCAAAAATACTTTGCACAGAGCTCCCCGCACAAACGGGTTTCCTCTGGGGCTCCTCAGAGGTCCCAGCCTGCAGTACTCACCTGGGTACAGGGGCTCCTGGTCACTCCTGAGGAGAACAGTCACTGCAGAGAAGGTAGAGGTGAGGCAGGAGGTTGGGGTCACGGGTGGGGGAGGTTAGAGGCGCAGGGGCTGACCACTCTCACCAATGGCCCAGGAAGCCACCCCGATGCCCGTCAGGAGTAGCAGGGTCCCCACAATAAGAGCTGCCACCTTGGGTCCGGAGCATGTCACAGTCCGGCCACCTGCAAGAGACACCATGCTGGGGCCACTGCCAGGTCTGTCATGGCCCCAGGGTCCAGGCAGTGGGCCATTCCCGCCCTGCCCCCAGGCCTAATTTATCCCGCCACACCGTGGGTCCTGCTTCCCCGGGCTGACAGGTTGGTAGGGCTGTCCCTCCCCTGCCCTGCGGACAGCCAAGTGTCTGTCCAGCTCCTGGAAGGCTCTGGCCGGGAAGGACACACGGCTCGGCCCACTGCCTCCCTCCTCGCCTCCACCCTGGCACTTACAGCCCCACCCCTCCCCGATGACACCGCACTGCTGATTTCTCTAGTCACTTTCTGCCTCTGTTCACGAGCCTCTCGCTTTTGCTAACTTGTCCTAAAGCTCTTGGGGGGCGTTCCTAATCTTTTCCCTCTTCACAGCTCTCTTCCCTCCAGCTCGGCATTTCTTCACCGCCTCCTTTCTCTCTGCCACTGTAGATTCTCTGCCTTTGGGCACCCCCTCAAACCAACTTTTCTCTTAGGACCCCAACTCCAAGATCAGATTTGTCTCCTGGAGGCTGAGAATCCAAGTTAGGAAAATTTCCAGCCTTATTTTAAAATACTGGCCTTACCCATTCCTGGCTGGGATCTTGGCAGGTGACATCACCTCTTGGAGCCTCAGCCTTTTCATCTGTTAAATGGGCACCTACCTAGCACCTACTTCTAAAAACAGCACTTTAAAGTTCTTTTAAATAGTAACAGCCAAACTCAGTGACGGTTGTAATGTGCCAAAGCACTGCTCTAAGCACACATGCTACGCGGTCCTCATCTCAGACCCACACTGGGATTCTCACTGTTCCGATGGCTCCAGGAGGTGGCATCACACCTCCAGGGGAACTCGGCCTGAAAGAAGAAGCGCTGAGTCCTGAACCCTGGGCAGATTTGGTGCTGGGTACAAAGTATGTAACTACAGAGCCTATCACCTATCATGGCATTGTGCCCGGGAGATAGCAAGTTCTTAATAAATGCTTTATAAATCGTCAGAGCTGTGTGGTCCTGGGCAACTCCCTTCTCCTCTCTGAACCTCAGTATTCCCACCAGTAAAATGGAGCTTCATTCCTTCACTGTCCTGCTGAGCATCTGCCGTGTCCCTGGCATCACTCTGGGAACGGACCCCAAAGCAAGACAGATAAGAGGACGGCTCTCGGGGCTCGCACACAGGGGAGAGCGAGCAGGGAGGGAGAAAATCACAAGAAAAGGAGCCGGGTATGTCCAGGCTGTAGTACAGGCTATGGAAGGAAGGCAGGTTGGGACGCAGAGGGGGCTTCAGAGGGGGCTCAGGACAGCATTTGGAGCGAAGGACAGATGCAGAGCCAGCCACGCCAATGGTTCAAGGAAGCACACTGTGGGCAGAGGGGCAGCCCATGCAAAGGCCATGGGGCAGGAAGGGGCGCGTCCTGTTAGAGGGCTAGAGGGGCAGAGAGGTGGCCAGATGGCACGGGCCTGGGCACGGCGGTGAGCGCCAAGGCTGAGCCAGTGAGGAGAAGCAGCCCGGGAAAAAGAGGGACTTTACTCCCTGTGCAGAGGTCCTGGAGGTTACACACCAACTCCTCCCCTCGAGACTGAGAGAGAAAAGGCAGCTCAGAACTTCTGCTGACCCTGGCCTGGGTTCCACGGTGGTGAAGCACTCCCAGCCCTCCCGTCTGTGTTCAGGGTGGTACGGCTGTGGGCACGGTGCCGGGCCAGAACCCGGAACAGAGCAGGGTGCGGTCCTGGATCTCAGCCACTGTTGGGGTGACTTCAGAATCTGAGTCTAGCGGCTCCCATCAAAGAATGAGGAAACGCTCCATCCCACACAGAGGCCCCAGAGGGCCGGGCCAGCCTCGCCCACCCCTGCCGGGTGACCCCTGCCTGTCTCAGCCTGCCCCTCAGCTCTGTCCTCGCCCGCCTTCCTGGTTTGGGAGAGGATCCAGCCTCCTCCGGCCATCAGAACCCCCAACTCCTCTGTCTGCAGACGCGCCTGCCAGGCCTACGCCAGACCAAACCAGAGGCCTAGAGGCCCTCGTGTCTCCTAGGGGGACAGGAAAGTACTTCCTTCCCTGCCCTCTGACTCAGAGGACTTTGGCCACCTCCAAAACAGGTGCCCCTGGTGAGCAAGGCTGACCTTCTCCTGGTTACCCCACTGCGAGACACAGCCTCTCTGTCTGTTGGGACAGGAGCACCCTTGCTCTTCAACTCTGTCCTCTGTGAGCCAGGGCTCCCTGCCCGCTACTTCTGCCTGAGACTCTGTTCTCCATTTCTCAGGCAATTCCCAGCTGTCCCACGTCTTCTTACAGGACAGCCACCCCCCTCATGCAGCTGCAAAGACCCTCCGAGGTGACCCCTTTAACTCCCTGTCTTTCAAAATGCACTCAATGGATGGTTCCAGGTCTCTGCCCTCCCAGGGCCCTCCCACTAAACTACATCCCCAGTCCTTTTCAAAATGTTTTACTAAGTCACTGAGGTGCCTCGGCTGGGCTCGATCTTGTGATCCTCCTGCCTCAGCCTCCCAGAGTGCTGGGATTCCAGGATGTATCACTGTGTCTGCATACGGTCTTCCTCTTAAATAACCCCAGCTTCCTGGGTGAGAGTCTCTCCTCTTTGGACTTCTGGGACACCACACACTCCTCATTTTCCTTTTACTCTTCTGAGGGGCCAGCTCTGCAACCCAACTCTCCCTCTCACCCCAAAATCTGGAATTCCCGAGGTAGGTGGCCCCTTCCCGTTCATCCCTCCCTGCTCCTGTTTATCTCACTTTCCTCTGCAGCCTCAGTTTCCCCTCTATCTTCAGGCCTGGACTCTCTTCTGAGTCCCAGACCAGGAGTCCCACGGTCTCTTAGACCCCTTCCTCCAGAACCTCCTAGTCCCTTCCCACCCATGCCGACCTCCACGTCTCCACCAATCTGGTTTCTGTTTCTTGTTGTACTGGGAATTGAACCCAGGAAGCTCTGAGCTACATCCTCATCCCTTCTTGAGATAACGTCTTGGTAAGTTGCCCAGGCTGGGCTCAAACTTGTGAATCATCCTACCTCTGCCTCCCAAGTAACTAGATTACAGGCAGGCACCACTATGCCCAGCTGCACATCTGTTCTCCCTCGAGGCCCTTGTCCCCAGGACACTTCCTTCCCCCACAGGTTGCCAGTTTCCCAGCCCATCCGGCCTCCTGGGTGGCTCTCCCAGTCCCACCTTGGTCCAGCCCCATCTGACCGCTGAGCTCCCTCTCCCATCTGGAGCAATATGGAGCCTGGAAAACTTAGCTAAGTACCAACCCCAACTCATCGGTTTACCTAGACCCCTCCATGACTCCCAGGATGGAGTCTAAAGCCCTCATCCCAGCATCCCCAACCTTGTCGGACATAAGCACGGTTTTTAGAGATTCAAGGGTGAAATATATGTCTCCTCAAATTTGGAGACAGCCACGGGCCATTGTCAGACACCAAACAGAGCTTCTAAAGAGCAACTCAACGGGAGAACTTGAAAAATCCCACTTGGACAAAGAAAAACAAAGAACAACCACTAGCGCCATCTTGTGGAGAGACCCAGCACCACCGAGGACTCTCCTGCCCCTCACCTTAGTCCCGACAGTCTGGTCCAACAGCTGCGGCAACTCATGGCCCTCCAGCTCCATTCCCATGCCCACCTCCATACACACCAGCACCACCTGCGCGCCCTACATCCGGGCACTTGGCTGCCCCAGCTTCCAGCCATGCTGTGCCTCTGCCGGGCTCATCCCACCTGCTCCCTACTGTCCTTTGAGTCTCCTCCTCCATGCCAAAGCTCACAGTACTGCGATCTTTGGGGACACTTTAACAGCGGTGGCAACGGTGGTCACGGATGCAACCATGGCTCTCAGGACCCCACACCAACTCACAGCACTGCCCTAACCCTGTCCAGTTCTGCACTGTCCTTACCTCCCTGCCGCTGTTAATTAGGAAGGAATCATTACTGTCTATAGGTAGAGATGAGGAAAGGAGGCCAGAAGAGGTGCAGCCACCAGCTGCAGTCACCCAGCAAGCAGGTGCAGCATCAAAGCCCTCAACATCTGCATCCAGATTGACCACCGCACCCCAACCTTCTGGGAATACTCCAGGCCCCCTCTGCATCTCTCCCTTTGTGGCCAGACAAACCTCTGTCCATGCTGGCACTTTCTGCTTCTCTTCCCTGGGTCATTTACCCCAGCCCCTGCCCTGCACCTCCCTTCAGTGAGCTCCAGGAAAGAATCTGTCACAAAGGGGCCAGGCTCTGCATCCACCTGCTCATCCGAGTGTGGCACCTTCTCCCGAGTGACTGAGAGCCTGAGTTCTCTCTGGACCACAGATGCATGGTTTGGGGCCCGCACTGCTATCTGCACCAAAACTGAGAGCCAAAGAGGCCAGAGAACTGTGCTCATCATGTCAGCCAAGAAGTTTAGTGCTTCCTCACACCAGGCTGTGAGAGCTGTCCTACTACCACCTCTGTTTTGCAGAGGAAAATGGAGCTCAGAGAGGGTTAGCTGTTTGCCCAGGGCCACACAGCTAGAAAGTGCTAATGCCTGGGACTGAAGCCAGTTCACACGGCTCTAGGAAGAAGAGAAGGAGAGGCTGGAAAGAAAAGGCTGCCCCTAACTGGCTTCTCCAGCTGGTCCCCCACTGTGGAAGAGGTAAAAAGGTAAGCAGGCCACTTGCAGTCTGCGCCACTCCATGCCCGGAGCCCTCTCCATCATCCCCGCTGCGGCTTCTGCACTGTCTCTGCCCTCTCCATCCCTCAGCGCTGAGTCCAAAGTCCTCCCTCTGCTCTTTGTGACAGAACCAGAAGGTAGGAGGAACGTCTGGATTTGGTGGGGGTCCTGGGTCCCCGTTATGACAGCTCCAGTTTATGTCCTGAGCCCCATGTTCGCAACAGCCTCGCACGGGGAGAATTAGGATCTGTACCCCACCCTGGCGAAACTGAAGCCGGCAGAAATAATGTCGCTTGCACGGGATCACACAGCGACAAAAGGAGCACAGGCAAATTCAAACACAGACCTGTGTGTTTGACTGTAGGATCTGAGTCCTGAACCATGACAACCACAGCAGTGCCCCCACCTCAGCCTCAAGTAGAGGCAGGGTCCAGGGTTAGCTGAGAAATCACTGAGGAGAGGGCAGTGAGGGGAAACTGAGGCAGGGTGCTGAAGAGGTCATATGGGGTGGCAGGAAGGCGGGTGACGGCAGAGCCCCACAGAAAATTTGGTTAATATTTAATCAGGTGCAGGAGGCCTCAGAGGGGTGCAGTGGGCCTGGGAGGGGTGCCTGGAATCAGGGGGCTCCGTGGGGTGGAGGGTAAAGGGGAGACTACAGCAGGAGGGGCAGTAGGTAGAGCCAAAGTTGGGGCTCAGGTAAGGGGGGACTCACCCTCCTTCTCAGCCATGTCACAGCCTCTTGTTAATGATTCCCCGGCTGACCTCCTGGCCGGGGCGGGACCTGTGGGCAGATGAACAGGGAGGCAGGACGCGGGGAGCCCAGCCCAGCCCAGGCCTGCGCCCCCAGTCCCAGGCGCCCATCCAGGGAGGATGGAAGGACTGGGCCCTGGCCAGAGCATGCCATGATCACGGGTGCAGACTAGGCTGGGTTCAAGGATGGGGTCAGTGTCTGCCCAGTGGCAGGCGGACAACTGCATTTGCAGAGCTGAGGACCCCAGGCTTGAGCCTAGGGAGGAGGGGGCTACGGACTGGAACCACTGGGGCGAGGGGAAGAGAGCACTGAGGGCCCGGAGGAGGAGGAATCCGGGGGCCAGGACTCCTTGGCATGAGAGAAGATGGGCCGAGGGCCTGGACTCCTGGCTCCGATCTCTGAGGCTGAGAGGAGAGCGGGTTGGAACTCTCAGACCCTTGAGAAGTAGGAGAGTCCACTCTTGGGACCCCTGTATTGGGAGGCAGGCATCAGGCTGGGTGGAGGGCGAGGGAACCCGTGTCCTCAGGACTGGAATTGAGAGTCTGAGGGCCTTGGTCCTTACCCTGGGGTCCAGCCGGCGGGGGCAGGGCCTCGAGATGGTGCCGGCTTAGGGCTCAGTCTCCAGGCCTTGACAGAAGCATGGTGGCCCTGCAGCAGAGGGCGGCCCGGGAGGCAGAGGTGCGAGTGGCAGCGGCGGCGTGGGGCCTGCTAGGCCGGGCTGCCTCACCTGAGGAGGGTGCTGGGCAGGAGGCGGGGGAAGGGGCGGGGAGGGGCTGGACCACAGGATTGGCAGCGCCAGAGGCCACCTGGCTGGTGGGCCGGCCTGGCAGGGGTTGGACCGGGGAGGCCCAGCCACCAGCTTGGGAGGGGACCTGTGGAGGGGCGCAGTGCGTCTGTGGGAGTGGGTCAGGGGCTCCAGGGGGACCAGAGGGTGGGGGTCGCACTCGGAGGGACTGCTGCCCCAGCCCACTCTGCGGGGTACTTTTCTCAACCCTGCCAGGCCCCAGGCCCCACCCACTGCCAGTCTCAGCTTCAATCCCGAGCTTTTCCCCAGTCCTCTTCCTCTACCAACCCCTCTTGCCTCTGTCCCTTCCCTGGTCCCCAGCCCAGCCTAGCCCAGGCCCAGCCAGCATTGCCCCACTCATCCCACCCCCAGCCCCCTCCCCCAGCTGCTTTCCTACAAGTCACGGGGGTTGGTTTGCTTTGGCAGCCTCTCTGCAGCCTGCCTGGTGACCTCTGGAGCCAGGAAAGTCCTCCATGGGGGGGCAAGGGGGACTGGTCCGGAAAAGGCCACACGAAGTGCTCAGGGCCAGGCCAAGTGGCCGGAAGCGTCTAGAGGCAGATACACACTGTCCCGTCAGCAGCCAAGGGCAGCCACCTGCGTCAGACCCCGGGGCCAGATCAACACCCTGACAGGCCAATGTCCCACCAGACACCAGCCCGGAGCCAGGCATCTACACAGAACACGGTGCTCATCCCAGATCAACTGTGCCCACAAAATCGAACCCGCCTACTCACCCACACAAGCCCTCTGTGCCCAGTTCACCCACAGACCCGTAACCTCGCATAGTGGGACACTGGAGTAGCTTAGCTGGGGGCCGACCCTAAGCTCTGTTCCTGCCTCCCTCCCTCTCCCCAACTGCCACTTCTCCAGAGACCCACACACTGCTAGGGACACAGCAAAGCCCACAGAGCCGATGCCCCCTATCATTAGCTTTGCCGCTCTCCCCCCATGGCACCCCCATGCCCGGAACCACCTCCTGCTCCCATCCTGTCTCCTCCCACTCCCCTCCCGCTGAGCTAGTAATTCCCCTCCACTGCGACATTAGTAAGCGTTAAGTGGCTTCATCATTCCCATTCATCCCTAAATGTGCATGGCAGCTCCTGGCTGCCCGCTGGGAGAGGAGGGGTCTCTGGGGAACCAGAGGCGCTTAGGAGGCTCTTAGATTTGGGGCAAGATGTAGAAGGTGTGGGAGCTCAGGAGAGACGGTAAATCAAGTCCAAGAATCTTTATTTTGAGAACAAAACTACTTCTGTAAAGAGAGACGAGGCAGAAGGAGCCCCTTTCTGAGTGGCCACGGTTGAAGGCTGGTGAGAGAGGGCGGGTGGGGCCGGGGCCAGAGTGCATCACAGGGAGAGGGGACCCCAGGTCCAGCCGGAGGAAGCGGGAGGGTACATGATGCTGGGGGTCCCAGTGGGGCTAGAACCCCCTACCCCAAACTGTCCCGGGCACCCATCACAACCCCCAGCCGGGCAGGGAGGGGCTGGCCCCAGCAGTGCGTGTCTGAAGCGGGCCAACGTGTGCAAATCAGCAAGAAGGAGGGGAACGGAGCCGCTGCCCCCGCCTCGCCGCCCCCTCCCCTAACAGGCAGCAGAAGCAGGGGTGGGGGCAGCGGCAGTATTGCTTTGCCCATCATGCATGGCGGTGGGTGGGCAACGGGGCAGGAGGAAGGCTGGGTGAGGGGTGTGCGCTGTGCCAGTCCCCCGGCCCCTCCCACCCTCGCGGCTCCGTTGGCAGCACTCTGAGGCAAGGGGAGGCCCCGGAACGGCCATCCCCCTGTGGGGCAGGCACGCCTAGATGTCCCTGTTTAGAGCTGGCTCTTCCTTGAGGCGGAGCCCAGGGCCTAAAAGGGAGGGAGAGAGGGGGAATAATGGACCCCAGCAGGCTGAAACCCCCAGGCCCTCCGCCCCATCACCCACCTTACCAGGGCTATTCGGCCACCTGGACACCAGTACAGTTCTCTTTGCTCTCCGAGGTGATGGCCAGGTATTCTGAGCTGTGGAGGGAAAGCGGGGGGCGGGAATCACCCCATGGCCAGTCTGGCCCAACCCCTCCCACTTGAACAAGGCAGGCCAGGGCCTGACGCCAGCCACCCTATCGCACCACCCCTGACACCCGCATTCCACTCCAGGGGGCACTGCCGAAGGCATCCCGGGTTCCTCCCTCCTGGGCTCCTCCTCGCCGGCCCACTCACGCATTCTCCTGCGCAGCAGCCTCCGTGGCCGCGGCGATCTTCTTGTAGCAGTAAACCATCTCGGCCACCAGCCATATCGTCAACACCACGATGAGCACGTACATCATGATCTCGGACACGATGGACGCCATGTCTCTGTTAGCTGGCAGGGACAAGGGCGTGGCTGAGACCCAAGCTCGGGAGACACGACAGCCCGAGTGTGTGGCACGCTTGCTGAGTGAGCTTGGGAGAGTGTCTTGACCTCCCCAGGCCTGGGCACACGTGGGACAATTATGCTGCTCCCCCAGCCTCGCACAGACCTGGGGGTCACTCTTAGTTTGCTTCCTTATATAACTTGAGAGCACATCTGTGTCACTCCTGGAAGCTGTCGGGCACAATACCTAAGAGCTTATACTGTAACTGCAATCAAAAGGCTGGGGTTCAAATCCTGGCTCTGCCATTTGCCAGCTGTGTGACCTTGGACAACCGATCAACCTCTCTGGGCCTCCATTTCCCCAAATGCAAAAAGCTGGTAACTTCAAAGTATCCTATACTGAGGTGTTGTGAGAATAAGCTTTTAAAAATCCTTAGAACAAACTGGATGTGATGGTGAACGCTGTTAACCCCAGCACTTTGGGAGGCTGAGGCAGGAGGATGGCAAGTTCAAGTGCAGCCTGGGCAGTTTAGTAACTTAGTGAAAGCCTGTCTCAAAATTTAAAAAGGATCACCAAAAGGCCGGGCATGGTGGCGCACACCTATAATCCCAGTACTTGGAAGTCTGAGGCAGGAGGATCGTTGCGAGTTCAAGGCCAGCCTGGGCTACAAAGTGAGCTCAAGGCCAGCCTGAACTGCGCAGTGAGACCCTGTCTCTAAAAGACAAAAAAAAAAAAAAGGATCACCAAGCACGATGGCGCACCCCTGTAATGCCAGCACTCAGGAGGCTGAAGCGGGAGGATTGCTATGAGTTCAATGTCAGCCTCGGCTACAGAATGAGACCTTGACCCAAAAAAACAAAGAAAATTTAAATTTAAATTTAAAAAGGGCTGGGGATACAGCTTAGTGAGAAGGACTAGGTTCAATCCCCAGTACTGCAAAATAAAAAAATACAATTAAAAATATCCTTAGAATAGCACTTGACTTATCAATAGCACTGGATAAATAGTTACTATTACTGCTTCTACTTTTACTGCTACGATTGAGGCAGTGCAGCATAATGATTAGGAGTAGAGGGCTCCAGCTCCAGATTACTAGGGTTTAAAGCCTAGTTCTGCTTTTTATGAGCTGTGCAGTGTTAGGCAAATGACTCTACCTCTCTGAGCCTCGAATCCTCCTCTGTAAAATGAGGATAATACTGCTACAGCCCCCAGGACTGCTGGGAAGAGGACAGGAGTTAACACCCGTAACGCATGTGGCAGAGCCCAGCACCGTGTTGGCTGTTTTCTGGAAAGCCTGCATCCCTTCCGCAGTGCTGGCCCTTGTCACCGCCAGCTTCCTTTCATTGAGCCTAAATTTAAACTGTAAAGGGAGCTCGATCAGCCAGGCGATCAGTCGAAGGCACGTTGGCGTCCTCCACCGGATGTCGCAGGTGTCCATCCTGCATCCATGGCCCCTCCCCGGCCTCACTGCCCACTGCTGTCCTCATGCCTCGCCCCCCCGTGAGCCGGCACTGTCTGCTGCTCCACGCTGTGCAGAGGGCAGGGAGCTTTCCCCGCCAGCACAACCTCTGTGTCTGAAGGAGGGCCCAGGACAGGGTTCCAGGTCCCCTCTGCTCACTCCATCACTTGCCAGTGGACGTTGTCATTAATGCATCTCCCGCAGGGAGCAGCTGTTCTCAGCCAAGCTCTGTGCTACGACTTCCACCTGAGCATCTCCCTGGCCCCACGGGCCAGCCCCAAGCTCAGGACGGTCCGGGCTCCCGGGTCAGCAACCACACTGAGTTACAGCCTGGGTGGCTAAGCTCGATGGCTGGATTCTCACCTTTCTCCGGGAGATCAAGGCCCGAGATTTACATAACACGGTATCTTTGCTCTCCCAGCCGGATTAGGACAGGGATAGGCAGGGGTCTGCCGCCATTTTTCTAGACAGAATCACTGAGGAGCTGACAAGGACACAAGAACACACAGCCAGGACGGGCCTCAGAGCCAGGGTCCCACCCCAAGTGGAACCAGCTGCGACGTTCTGAGTTCCCCTCTGCTCTGGGAGCCACCAGCAGCCACAGACAGACCACAGATATCTCAGGACAGGAGCTGAGGCAGAGGGGCGCTTCTTGTGGGGTTAGCGACACTTTCCCTGGGGAGCCCCACCATTTCTTAAAAACTCCAGACCTCTCAGCGTGCTGCATGCCCTGCCCGCACAGGCAGCCCCCAGATCTGAAGGCCCTGCTGACGTCTCACCAGCCTCAGGCGCTGTTAGCCTTTGGATACTTTCTACCCCCGCCCTGTGTCATTATTGTCCCGTCTGCCCACTCACGCCTCCGGTGGGCTTCCTGCCCTCTTTCACACCCCTCCAGCATTCTGGCATTCTCACCAGTGCCCTCTGGATGTGAGCCAGGTCATCCCTGGGGGCCCCTAGCAAGAGGTGCTGTGGGCTGATGCTAGCACCAAAACTACAGAGACAGTGAGTAAAAATAATTCTAAATCAGACATGTGCGACATGCCTGTAATCCCAGCGCTTTAGGAGGCTGAGGCAGGAGGCTCACAATTTTGAGCCCAGCCTGGGCAACTTAGGGACATAGTGAGACCATATCTCAAAATCTAAAAAAAAAGGGGGGGGTAGGTGCTGGGGATGGCCACTGAAGCTAACAGCACTGTGGGGAATGAAAAATATTGTAGTGTGATATCATGTTGAAAATACTACACTATCCTGGGCAATGGTGAATGTACTATAGCACAACAAGCTATACTGAACATCACTGCAATATGACCCATAATATTTTAAAATACTAGAGCAAGGCCAGGGATATAGTTCAGGGGCACAGCACCTGCCTCGCAAGCTTGAGGTCCTGAGTTCGATTCCCGGTACCAAAAAAAAAAAAAATACTAGAGCAGAATGGTGGGTAATAATAAAAACATGGTAGCATGGCAGAGAACATTAAATATCTCTAGTTCTGCTGGACATGGTGGCACATGCCTTTGATCTTAACACTTAGGCTGAGGCAGGAAAATCCCAGTGAATTCAAGGTGAGCCTGGGCTATAGAGGCAGTTCAAGGCCAGCCTGACCTATTTAGCAACACCCTGTCTCAATAAACCAAAAACATTTTTATAAATAAATAATAAAAATACTCTAGTTCTATGGGTTGTAAAGATACCCCTGAGCCAGGCATGCTAGCGCATGCCTATAATCCCAGTACCCAGGAGGCTGAGGTAGGAGGATCGCTGTGAGTTTGAGGCCAGCCTGGACTACAAAGTGAGTTCAAGGCCAGCCTTAACTGCATAGGGAAATCTTGTGTCAAAAAACAAAACAAACAAATAAACAAAGAAAACATTGTCTGGCAATGTCAATATAGCAGGGAAGCAGTAATAGTAGTAGTGGATAATTGTAATCCTAGTAATCTAGGAGGCTGAGGCAGGAGAATCACAAATTCCAGCCCAGCCTGGGCAACAGCAAAACCCTCAAAATAAAAAATTACTCAGCGGCACAGGGCATGCCCAACAAGCACAAGATCCTGAGTTCTATTCCCAGTAGCCCCTGACCAAAAAATGACAAAAGGCTGAGGATGTAGCTCAGTGTGAAGGCTCTGGGTTCAATCCCCAGCACTGAAAAAAAAAAAAAAAAGGGCAAAATTATAATACAGTGGGTAGAAAATACTAAAAATATAGTGGATTATGCTGAAAACACACACTTACACAAGACCACAGAGAGAGCTCTATAGAGTGGTGACTATGGTTTAGACCATAACCTCTGGGAGGTGGCATAATGTGGTGGCCAATGTGAGACAGAGGCTTGCAGTCACAGGTTGGGGCACTCCAGGAGCACAGGCCCAGTGCAAGATGCAAAGAGGCCTGGGAATAGTGTGCCCAGCCGCCTGCCCTCCCCTCAACACTGCTCTTGGCTCAACAGAAAGGGGTTGTTGCCCCCGTATCTGGGCATCCTAGTTACAGCGACTGCGCTGCACCCCACTCTCAGGGATGACCACCCACCCAGCTGGGCGATGTGCGTCCCGAGGGGCTCATCCCTGTCTTCCAGATTGCCTTCTGCTGTCGCCCTTCAATCAGAAATGCAAGAACACTAATTCTGAAAAGAATCCCACGGACACAGCGACAAGAGAACAGTCATTCACGCTGAGAACAGAACTCACAGTCACCCGGTAGTGGAGGGGTCAAACCCAGGTCCCAACTACATGATCCTGGCCACACGCTCTCACCTCCCTGAGCCTCAGCTTCCTCGTCTAAGCAGTGGGCACAGTAAGATCCCTGCCCCAGAGGTCTCCAAGGGGCTCAGCGGGGCCTTTGCCAGCAGCACGAAGGCCAGCAGCTGTGTGGTAGAAAGGCAGTACGCTGCCTGTTGCTGAGCTGCCGGCTTGCTGGGCCCCAGGGGACATACTTGCCACGGCTCTTTGCTGGATCCAGGCCTGGAATAGTTCCCTGATTCTAGGAGCCAATGGGCCACGGGGCCCTGGAAAATTCCAATATGTGCTGGAAAGAAGATGGCCCGGAAGGGGAGGAGAAGGGACGCAGCTGAAGCCACATGTGGAGGTGGTACTGCAACGCTTGGGCCCTGGGACTCCCCTTGTGGCCCCCCGAGCTGCAGAACTGGCCTAGCTGAGAGCTTGTGAGACCCCTCTCACGGGCCACCGGGATCTGCTGAGTCAGGCCGAGCGTGTCCACAAGACCCCCCGCCGGCTGGAGAGCAGGGGGCACTGGAGGAGCCACTTCCGGAGACACTCCGCACCAACGGAGGGGCTCAGGGCAAAGGCTACTCCACAAGCAGAGCTGTCAGGCGTGGTGGCACACACCTGTAAACCCAGCAATCTGGGAGGCTGAGGCTGGAAGATACAAGTTTGACTCCTACCTGCGCAACTTAACAACTCAGAAACACCACGTCTCAAAGTAAAAAATAAAAAAGGGCTGGGGACGTAGCTCAGTGTGAAGGCCTTGGGATCAATCTCCAGTACCGCAAACAACAACAAAAAAACACACAAAACCAAACAAAAAAGACACGAGCCAAGGCCCTCTCCCTGGCAAATAAGGTGGGCTGAGCCCAAGCAGCAAGTGACACCTAGCACTGTGTCCAATCCTCCTAACCTCCTGAGAGAGAAGAATGGCTCCAATAATACCCGGCAGCAGGGTGCAGTTATCATCCCTGCCTCCTGCAGAACTTCTCTGAAGCTCAGAGACAGCAAGGCACCTGCAGAAGGCTACACAGCACAGGTACCGGAGCTCGGATTTGCACCTACAGTATCCATGGGGACAGCCCTACCTTGGACCTCTCCACGGGCTGCAGGTAAGTAGAAGCCACAAGCAGAATGGATGGGGATGCTGCTCACCCCACCGTAGCAAGGGGGTTGGCTGGCCCAGGCAGGGAGCCAGCCTGTCCGCTACCTGCCATCTGTCCCTCCATCTGGTGTAGGAGTGGGTGACAGAGGTGAACACACAGGCAGGACTCACCTTTGTCCACCACCTCAAGGTGGATCTTCTTGACGACGCTGGTGTTGTGCTCATAGTTCTCGAAGAAGAGCAGGCGGTAGACGTGGCACTCGTAGTCGCCCGAGTGGTTGTAGGTGACGTTGGTGATGAAGATGGAGAGGTCCTGCAGGTCCTTGGTGCCCCGGCTGCCATTCCACACCACACGGCCCTCAAAGCGTTCATCCTCCTCCAGCTGTAGCACCTCGTTTTCATAGCGCAGGATCTTGGGGAGCCCAGGGGTGGGGTGGGGTATGAGTCACTGCCTGGGCCTGCCTCCCTCTCCTGACCCCAATATCGTCCCTGCCCTGCACACACAGACACCAGGGGCACACACGGGCTTAGGCACCTTGACCTCAGGCAAGGAGGGTACAGGCAGCCTGGATCGATCCCAGACCCCAAGACACACAGACTCCCGCCCAGTCACCAGTCACGGCCCCAAGCCGCAGGGGGTTCCCCAGCCTCCTTCCCTGCGGTCCTTCTCGACACCACGCACACTCCGCAGGCAGGGTTTGGGCAGTCTGATCCCAGGTGCCACAGACCCCAATTCCTCAGCAGGTGCTAAAAGTCAGCTGTGCCCCTCCCCCCCCCAAGTAATTCAATGCGCGCCCACAGTGTAAAGGAGGTTTTTTGGTTTTTTTTTTTTTTTTTTTTTGGTTTTTCTCCGGTACCAGGAACCGAACTGACGACCTTGCGCTTGCCAGGCAGGCGCTTTTGCCGCTGAGCTAAATCCCCAGCCCCTAAAGGAGGTTTTTAAAAGGTCCCACTTTCCCTTGGTGACAACTATCCCAGAGATCTTTGCTGGTGACAAGTAATTCCGGTAACATTTATTTCATGCCAGCCCCATGTGTCAGGAGCATGAACTCACTCAACTCTCACACAAACCTCTGGGCGAGAGACCATCACTACCTCATCCTTCCAGACAGAGCCTCAGCGGCTTACCCAAGGTCACCGGCTGGTCAGGGGTGCAGCCAGAATTTGAATCCAGGTCATTCATCACAGCCACACTATTCTCATTAAAACAAGCAAACAAACGCCCCCCTAATCTTGAAACCCAGCCTCACCGACTCCCCCACAGAGACACCGCCCTCCTGCACCCCTGCCAGGCACCCACACACCTTGACAAACTCGTTTGTGCCTTTCTGGCGGAAGGTCCACTCGGTGAAGGTCTCGGCCGTGGTCTCGCTGCGGCGCTTGCAGGAGATGCACAGAATTTTGAAGGTCATCCCATACACAGCCTCGGTCTCCGAGTCCACCTCCACGCAGCCCCCGCAGGCTGAGGACACTGTGGGGACAGCAGGCTCTGGTTGGGCACTGCACCCATCACCCCCGGCGCTGCCCGGCTCACTGGCTGTTGGCTTTCAGGGCCCTCGGAAACCATCTGTTTCCCCTCAATAATGATTACAAACGCACAGAGCTGGAGCCAAGCCCTGTCCACGTGTGCTGTGTGACCTTGGCAATCGCTCATCTTCTCCGAGCCTCAGTTTCCCTCTCTTCTGTTAAACGAACGGTGGGAAGATTGTTTTCAGCAGTTGCTGGGCAGAATCTCTCAGCACTCGGGAGGCCCCAGTACCCAGGGATGTCAGTGTGGCCAGTTACTCTGTCTTCCACAGCCGGAGGACCCTTTCCTCAGCAGGCCAAGCCACTAAAGTACCGAGGTGATGGGATGAGAATTTCAGGTGCTTTAGAAGCATCTCACTGGTCTGCAAACCCCACCTCAGCTTGAGAGAAGGGAACTTTTCAGGGGGGCAGAACACACTCCAGCCCTGTTCCCTCCTCCCATAAGCCCCTTGGAGATCCACCCTCTCCCAGACTTCTGCCTCTTCCTCTACTCCCCCGGCTCCATCACCCCTAGGCCCCCACCCACCTAGTAGCCTCCCCAAAGCTCTTTTCTGCCTCAGGGTCTTTGCACTTCCACTGGATTCCAGGGTGTCTAAATTCCCCCCTCACTCTTACCTGTCACTTCCTCCGGGCTCCCAGCACTCACTAGCTACTGCTGGGTCCTCTCCATGTCCCTCACTCTTCAGGGCTTCCTGTCCGCCTCCCCTGCTATCTCTGTCTCCGTGGGCTCCTATCCCACGTTTACCCTCTCTGGGGTCTCTTTGAAGGTCCTGTCACTCCGTGTCCTCTTTCCTGCTCATTCTCTCTCGCCCCTTTCTCCACCTTTTCACGTCTCTCGCTGTTAAACTCCATCCTGCTTTGTTGGTCCCGTCTGCATCTCCCTCCCTCCTCTCTCCGGCTCTGTCGGCCTCTCTCAAGTTTCCGTCTCCCCGGCTCGCACTCCGCTCCTCTCTCCAGCATCTCCGTCTCCGTCTGCCCCTGGCCGCACACCGCGTCTCCCAGCGGAGCACTCCGCCCCGCGAGTCCTTCAGTCTCTCCTCCCCGCTCCCGCCTCCATCTCTCCGGCCTCGGTCTCCCGTCCCAGTCCCCGCGCGCCGCTTCCCCCACCCCTCCCGCGGCTGTGGGTGTCACATTGCAGCCTGCGGGGCTCTGGGAGCAGCTGACTCCGCGTTTTCTCGCCCCCGGCTGGGCGCCCGCGGCCGCGAGGCCGA